AGAAAAGACGAAAGTCTTGACTACTTCTCGGCTTAACTTTAAAAAATGCGTCAAAATGTAGTTATTTAGGTGAGAGAAAGCAAAAAGTCGTCGATTTTGTTTGATGAAAAGTGTGGGGGCGTCCATGGGCAAATCCCATCGTATGTTAAGCTTTCAGAGGCTTGAAACTTGAAAACTGGGCTATTGACGTAAGACTTAAGTTGTGTTTCCTCGTTGACCCTTGAAATCCTAATGCAAAATGTCAGTTTCCATGCACCGCTTCTCTGCACGGCCCGATTTACCAATAAAATGCAAATCAAAACTTCACAGTTAATCTCCCGTTTGACGGACATCATCCACTTTTTCTCCGAGATAATGGAAAGTCCGAACCTTTCACCCAAGACCAAGAATATTTAGATTAGCTCGTTTCAGTATTGTAAAACAATATATTTCTTCATAGAAAATTAAAACAGTATCCAGTGGTGATTGGAAATGAATACGCCCTCCTGGGGTAAAGTCTCGAATGCCCCCTGTGGTAAGTCGCGCAGCCTCATTATTTACAGGGTCTCTTTGCGAAGGCCGCCGTACTCCACCACCAGAAAAATACGACACACCGATACCCACTAATTACACCCTCAGCAACAAATTTCAAGCTCCGGTTATTTTAAAAAAGCATACATCACGCCGTTGTTGACAACTCCAAATGACGATCTTATCGCTATTATTTATCACGCTTACGGTAATTATTTTTGTCCGGGTGAAATAAATTGCGACAAGCATGTCTTTGAGCCGCTGGCTAAACGTTTTATCGCGTTCATCACGGTTTCAACAAGGGGAGCCGGACAACTGGGGTGCCAACATAACACAAAAAACACACTTAACACCAAACATAAATGACATGCTTTACAGCATATCATTACTTTGTTAACAGTTTGATAACACCCAAATGACTCCCATATCTTCTGATAATGGTTTGGTATTATCAATCAGTGGTTGCTGGGTTTGATATTGGTTCTGGTGGATCGATATCGTGGTTTAAAGGGCGTTATCTAAAATCGGACAAATGGTAACATGCACAAATCGCGTGGGGTTTGTCCAGGAGACTTCCGGAGCAGCTGCTCCCATTAATGGTCATCATTAACACGGTCGCTATTCCAATATTACCTTCGGTGTAATTAATTGAGCGTCTCGGAGTCCGCTTTGTTCCAAAAGGAAAAAATTGAGGTAAAATTCTCACGATTGCGGCTGATTATTGATAATTAGAATCGCGGATTGAAAGGTATTAGCTCGTACAAAATGATGTGATTCATACAATTACTGAAATTACTTTCTAGGATCATGCATATTAAATTAAATGACTAATTGAAGATTACTTGTGGTTTTATCACGACAATGCAGTAGTGAGCGATCACGGACAATTTGTTCATGCTCAATTACAGGTGTTTGAAGCACACGTTGGAAAAATCGAAAGGAAAAAATAATCGGAGGCTTTGTGTTGAGAGAATTAGCGCATTTGTTATATCAATCAGGAATTAAATCAAGCCGGTGGTCACGGAGGAGAGGCACTTACTAACGGAAGACGAGGAATGTGTAAAGAAAGAAAGAAAAACGACAAGTAATAATGGCAATATGATCGCAGAAATAAACCTTGATGCATATGAAAGTGCACATGCCTTAGGTAAATTGGATAGTAAGTGGAGAAAATGTTTCACTCACGAGCATAATATTAGGAGATGTTTCAAATGTGCGAGATAGGTACGGTCACTTACCGCAGGCTCATACGACCTAATGAATACATATTGCAAAAATCAATCGCACGCCGGCCTTTCCATAAACTGCTAACACAACCATGCTCGCAAAATAGTAGAATTGTTTTGAAATAGTTTGGTGTTTTTTCAAAGTAAATCGCTATTTAGTAACTAAAAACGGATATTTTTTTTGATAAACCTTTCCGAATCAGGTAGGGTGAGGTCTAGAAGGGGGTGAGCGGCACAGCCGCGAGCCCCCTATAAATTTCAACAAAATCTGATAGTGTGAAGCCACCAATAATTTTGACAAAACATTTGCGAATCGGATAGTGTGAAAATGTTGTGCTATTTCCAATCGATTTGGCTCAGATTTAATCAACCTGAATCAAAGTATTTCAACAAAATTAATGCTTAAACAACAATTTTCTGCCAAAATAAAGAAATTTGAGTTATTTCCAATCGAATTTCGTTCGATTTTATTTGTATTTTATATCAATAATTGCTCAAAATCAAATTTTAGGCCAAAATGAAGCAATTTGTGCTACTTCCAATCGATTTGGCTCAATTTAAAGCCTGAAATCAAAGTATTTCAACAAAATTAATGCTTAAATAACAGTTTTCTAAAAATGTTGATGTGAGTTCTACTCGGGAGCGAAGTCCCCAATAATTTTAACAAAACATTTGCGAGTCAGATAGTGTCTATAAATTTTGACAAAATCTGATAGTATGAGTCTTAGACGGGGGTGAGCCCCCTATAAATTTCAATAAAATCTGGTAGTGTGAAGTCATCGATAATTTTGACAAAACTTTGCGAATCGGATAGTTGAGGTTTAAAAAAAGGCCGCGAACCTCTTATAAATTTTGTCTAAATTTGGTAGCGCTAGTTTTACTTGGGAGCAAAGCCCCAAATAATTTTCATAATATCTTTGCAAATCAGATAATGTGAAGTCTAAAAGGGGGCGAGCG